GAAAGAGTTTTTTGCAGAGCTTTCTGGCTCCTTTTTAGAGGACCAGATCAGGAAAGAATCAAGAGAAATTCGGGAGTGCAACTGTGTGGATGAATGAATTAAAAGACGTTCAGATGTTTGTTCAGTGCGTTCAGATGTTTGTTTCCCTCTCCACACACAATTGATCTGACTTAGATTAACCCAGTCTTAGATTAACTGGTAATTGTACGTAATTGTAGAGCATGATGAGGTCCCCCCTCAGCCTCCTCTTCGTCAAACTGAACAGACCCAGGTCCCTCAATCGCTCCTCGTAAGGTCTGTTCTCCAGACCCTTCACCAGCCTTGTTACCCTCCTCTGCACTCACTCCAACACCTCGATATCTCTCTTATACTGAGGTGACCAGTCTTCTAAAGTACCTATTTCAGTTCTTCCCAGAAAGCCTCTTCCTATCAGACCACAGAATTATTTATTGTTCTTCTTGATTGCCTGCCACACCATTACTCGCAAGGCTAGTGCTGCTTTTGTTCTCCTGAACTGCTGTAGCATCTTAGGCTGCTTGCTCTACACGCACACACAAAGCCCGTTACCACACCTTCTCCTTTGTGCTCCAGAGGCTCCAGGCCCTCTTTCTCCTCCACTTTCATTTTGTATAAATCAGCCAGTAGGAAACTAGTGATGACTTCAGGCCATTACTGGGCATGAGCCCCGAGTTGCTATTACTGGACTTTGTTCAGCTGAGAAGCTGTTTTATCGCTGGGATGAATAGCAGCAGCAGCTCATCCAGTGGCCAACACAGCCTTCTACACTTCCCTTCTACAACGCAGTTCAGAGAATTTATTCTTTTGAGTTTGTCTTTTCTTTTTCTTTTTTAATCTTTTTGTCTTTGGGAAACATTGCTAAAGCTGATTAACAGGCTATTTGGTTTGTCTGTTCCATGCTAGATATGGCCCATAGTCCAGAAGTTGAAAAAGCTGATGAACTTTTTATCAGAGTAACTAGGTGGCTCAAGGGACTGGTACCATCAAAGGGGTCCTGCACCCATGCACTTAAAGTCTGAATCCTTTATTTTGCAAAAATCCACAAGCAGGGTTAAATCATCTGTTCTGTTTCAGAGTGATTTTATTTTGGAGAGCTT